AAGGAAGGAAGGAAGGAGGGAGGGAGGGAGGGAGGGAGGGAGGAAGGAAGAGGGAAGAAAATCTTTATAGTCACCATGTGGGAAGCAGATTTGAGCAGTCAAGCTGGAGGGCAAGGAGACTGAGGAGGCTGCTGGACTGACTAGAACAAAAATGATGCTGGACCTGACTGCGGGGGGGGTGGGGGGAGTGAATACGCAGGGACGTGGTTAGATGTGAGACACTGGGGATAATAAAATCAAGCTCAGATGCTCGCTTCGGCACCGCGTATAACAAAAGCAAGCGCAGAGAGCGAAGAGTCCAGGTGATCCAGGATTTGGGCAGCCGTGGCAAAGACTTTGGCTCTAACTGGAAGGGCAGTGGGGAACTGTTCTATCACAGACAGGGTGTGATCCAATTTACATTTTTTTGTTTTGTTCTGCTTTGTCTTGAGACAGGGTCTCACTGTTGCCCAGGCCAGGTTCTCAGCCTCCCAAGTAGCTGAGATTGCAAGTTGTTTTCCATGTGGTCAATTTTTTTCGTATGGTGTTAATTTGTACTGAATTTTCAAAAACATCACTTCCATGTAATAGATGGAAGTATGGGCTCTGTTTTGTTCCAAGAAGTCAGCAACACGATGTTCCCTGCACTTGAGATACCAGTGTAGTCTGGCTAGTCTGGGTACAGCTTGGGCAGGTGCAGAAGTGGCCATAAGCATCAGACATTGACATCAAGGCTGCTGGTGAAGTTATGGGTAGTATTTACATGTTCAAAGATGTAATTTCTATGCATTAGTCCTTTTTTTTCTCCTTATGTCACATTTAGGGGATTAAAAGCTTCTTTTTTTTTGAGACAGAGTCTCACTACATAGTCCAGGCTGGCCTCAAACTCCTGCCTCAGCCTCCTGAGTGTTGGGATTACAGGCATGCAATACCATGCCCGGCACACTTAGGAAATAAAAACTCATTAATTTGATTTTTTTTTATTTTTTGGTTTTATTAAATGACACCAAAGAACTATTTTAATTTCTGTTAGGTATGATGATGGCATTATATATTTCTCTCCCTCTCTCTCATTGCCCAAGCTGGGCTCCAGCTCATGGTGATTCTCCGATTCTCCTGCCTCAGCCTCCACACCTGGCTACCCATGTCCTTAAGAAACTCACATTAGCCGGGCGTGGCGGTGCATGCCCGTAATCCCAGCACTTAGGAGGCTGAGGCAGGAGGATCTTTGCAAGTTCAAGGTCAGCCTGAACTGCATAGCAAGACCCTGTCTCAAAAAGACAAAAAGAAAAGAAACTCATATTAAAGTGTGTAGGAATGAAATGACATGATGCCTGAGATTTGCTTTACAATGCTGTGGCAAAGAAAAAGAGAAAAATGGGGGAGAGATAAAGGAAATAGGAGAAATTTGGTTAAACATGGAAACTATATTTAGATATAAGGGAATACATTGTACTGCTTACTTTTGTACATTTGCATGAAATTCTTTATAACAAAAAAAGTTTAGAAAAAAAGTTCAGGAAATGGGCTAGAGATGTGGCTAAATGTAGACTGTTTACCTAGCATGTGAAATCCCCAGCATGGCAAAAAGCAGGGACAAAATGAATTTTGAGGTGGATCATACACCTACATGTAAAAACTATAAAAATCAACTTTTATATAAAACACGAGAAAATAATTTCTTACATTAAGGTAGGTAAAAAAATTTTGAGACAGTGTCTTGTTATGTAACAGAGGCTCTGGCTTTGAACTTGCAATTCACCTGCCTCAGCCTCCTGAGTGCTGGGGTTGCAGGCATCTGTATTTGGTTGTTTTTACAGTGCACATGTACTACTTTTATCATTAAACAATAAAAAACACTTCTAAAATGATTTTTTTAAAAAGTAGAGAATGAATCAGTGGATCATGAATCAGAAGGCCAACTTTGGGGACAGGTTACTGCTGCACCCAGAGGCCCCACTTGGTCCCTGGGTTCTGACCCACAGTCATGCGCCGGCCTTGGTCCTCACCTCCGGAGCACCATGGTAACCTCAAACTCTTGCTGATGCTCAAGCTGTTTCTTTATTGGGTCATAAAGTACACTAAACTATTAAAACAAAAACTGATAAATTTGTCTTTATTTTTAAAATCGGATCATTAAAAGGCATCATTAAGGGAGCAAATAGACTGACAAATAGACTTATAAAAACTCGTGTTCAGAACATACAAAGAACACCTACTTATCAATAAAAGACAAACATACAATTTAAAACAAGCAAAGTGTAAAACGGTGTTTCAGAAGACAGGATATTGAAATGGCCAGTGAATATTTGAAATGAAAAAGTGCTTAAAATAATATCAAAGAACTATGAACTAAGAGCACAACGAACTGCTATGGATATTAGCAGGATAACTAAATTTTTTTTGCAAACTGTCATTATCAAGGGTTGCAAGGGTTGCTGAGGATGGGGAATTCCTGGAAACCTCATGTATTATTATTTGGCAGTTTCTCAGGAAGCTGAACCTGTACATAAACTGGCAATCCTGTACCCAGACACACAAGAGGGATTACAACAATCCACCCATCCATCAAAGTACAAGTATGTGGGTTAGTACTTGTGTATTATCTTGTATGTAAGTTATATCAAAAAAAGTAAAAATTAAGAGGGTGTTTATTTTAACTATAAAAGCAGAATTAGGATGGGTGTGTAGTTCAACAGTACAGCACTTGCCTGGCATGCTCAGAGGTCCTGGCTTCAATGGGAAAATGTGGGGGAAAGGCAAAAGAAATGCATGCTCTTTACAGAATGCTAAAACAGGCATGGCCGGAGGAATAAGAAGCCTCGATCCTTCTTTCTTGGGACCTGGTCCATCTCCAGTGCTCAACAGGTCTTCTCTGGGATAGAGGGGGCATTCAGTGAGGTGCCGAGGGGCAGATCTGGAGTTCATGGAACAAGCTACAAGGAGACAGATTCCATGACAGACAACGAGGACCCTTCTACCCACTTCTGCAGAAATAAAACAGGCTGGCCGAGGCCAGAATGAGCTGTCTGCCACCAAGCTCCTCAAGGAATAGCAGAGATAGCACCCGGGCTCGCCTGTCACCCCCATGGTCCCTTTGTGCTAACAAAGTGCAACTGTTGCCAGCCAGCTGCAGCAGGGAAGCCAGCTTTGGAGTCAAGGTCGGGATAGGAGTGAAGAGGGAGAGGAGGCCACAGGACAAAAGTCTTGGTTCTTAGGACTGACAAGCCGGGCTGGTGGTGATGCAGGCCGGGAATGCCAGCACTCTGGTAAGCTGAGGCACAGGGAGCCGAGATTTTCCACCTGGGCAATTTAGTGAGACTCGGACTCAAAATGAAAAAATGAAAAGGGGTGGGGCTGTAGCTCAGTGTGAAGGCCCTGGGTTCAACTCCCAGTACCATACAGAGAAAGAAGAAAGAAGAAAAGAAGAAAATGAAAGAAAGGAAGAGAGAAAGAGAGAGGGGGAGAGAGAGAGAGAGAGAGAAAGCCGGGCGTGGTGGCACACGCCTGTAATCCCAGCATTCGGGAGGCTGAGGCAGGAGGATCGTTGCGAGTTCAAGGCCAGCCTGAGCTACAAAGTGAGCTCAAGGTCAGCCTGAACTGCATAGCAAGACCCTGTCTCAAAAAGACAAAAAGAGAGAGAGAGAGCAAAAGAAAGAAAGAAAGAAAAGAAAGAAAGAAAGAAAGAAAGAAAGAAAGAAAGAAAAGAAAGAAAGAAAGAAAAAAGAAAGAAAGAAAGAAAAAGGAAAGAAGAAAGGAAGGAAAAGAAAGAAAACTGACAGATTTGATGCAAAACCAAAAATTTGGTGTGGAAAAACTCAGCTAACTGTGAGCAGGGATTCAGACCTGTATTCTTTCTCTCTCTGTCTCTAGCTTGCTGTATGGCTTTGTGTGATTCCCTTGCCCTCTCTGAGCCTGGGGCTGGACGAGGTAGTTCTCCTGGCATCCTCTGAAGCTATGTGGGAGCCACAGAGCGGAAGGTACCAGGATGAGCACTGACCGGTGTGACTGAAGTGACACACGGAGGTGAGAGAGGCTCCAGGTCTCATTCTCCATCCCTTATGAACTACTGCGAGGGCAAATATCCCAGGCCCCCCTGCTTCTCTGATCTCAGCTCTCTGAAGTGAAGGGATCCAACTCCCTGCTCCGGACTGAGTAGAGGTCACGTCACATCCCGTCCCCATGTTTGTGTACCTGCTAGAAATCTATAATCATGGACTGATGAGGCCCAGTGGCCATACCTACAATCCATAACTCCCAATTGTTCAGCCCATTCTTAAAACACAAATCACAAGGCCCGGTATGTTCCCAAGCCCTGTCCCTGGCAGGTAGCCACAACTCCTTTGTACTGAACACTCCCCCTCCAAAGTCCCACTGTGACCTTTTCTTTCACAATCCCCCTCCCCTATGAACCTTCGAAAGACCTCATCGCCTGCAGAGGGCAGCTGGTCTGCTCTCAGTGTCGCGGTGTCCTCTCAGCTGTGTTCTGAAATAAACCTGTCTTGCTGAGCCCATATCTCTGTTTCTTTTCCTCCTTTCCTAACATGAAGAACATCCCAGATGCTTTACCAGCCACCCAGGCCAGTTTGGATCCCCTTGGGGCGAGACCCTGCCCCCCATCCCAGGCCACCTTCAACAGGGTTTCTGCCAACCACACTTCCTGCTCGGTGAGCTTGGGCCTCAGCCCGGAAAGGACCTTAGGCCTAAGCACTCTGGACTTCCTTGATTGCTCTGGAGCTATAAGCCCCACCCTGCTCTGCCCAAAGACCTGGGGCAAGGAAGGGAGAGGCTCTGGATGCGGGCCAGACACCCAGTCCTAGACCAAGCTCCCCACCTTCCTGGCCATGCTGCTACTTTTCCCTCTCCATCTGCTCCGCCTTGAGGTTTTCCTCCCACGTTTAGTATGACTGTCCTGTGCCAGGCACTGAGTTGTATCCTAGAGACCCGAAGGTTTGTAATGTAAGGTGGGCCCCGCCCAAAGGAGCCCACTGCACAGTGAAAGACAAGTGTACATAGGGTTGGCTCTCATTATTTGTCATGGTTTTATGGGTCACCACAAACAACTGAAATTGAAAATACTAGACCATCGTTCCTGGGGAGAGGAAGGGTAGATTCCTGTAAGCCTCTGATCACCTTTTTGTCAACTGATCAATATATAACTTTGTTTTTTGTATGCTCCTATTTTAAGACACTTTACAGGTATTGAATAGGTATTCTTGGCCCATTAACACTGAACTCATGGTCAATAGTCCTATAACTCTGCCTGGAATGAAGCTCTTTTTTTTCTCTCTATGCAGTTCAGTCTGTCCTTGAGCTCACTTTGTAGCCCAGGCTGGCCTTGAACTCGCAATGATCCTCCTGCTTCAGCCTCCCGAGTGCTGGGATTACAGGCATGCGCCACCACACCCAGCATGAAGCTCATTTAATACATGGATCTTATTGAGGCACATCACAACCCTCCTGGGCTGAGGTACAGTACTCAGCTCTTGGACACAGCTGTGTACTTTAGAGCCACTGCAAGTAGTGAAATCGCCGAGAAAAAGCACTAAGATGCAAAAAAAAACAAAACAAAAAAAAAACCAAACCCACCACAGCACTAAATAGACCACAAAAAGGAAGCTGTTAACACTGCAGGGTGAAAAACTAAAGAAAAGGAAGGCAGGGTGTCCCTTGTTCAGTCTCAGCTGGGAATGTGCGCATCAGACAACTCAGAACTTTTGTTGCTCTATGAATGTCCATAAGTGAATGCAAGTAATGATTATGGGGTTGCAGATAAATTTTAGCTAATAAGGGAGTTCTCAAAATCTGAGACTCTGAGGATCAATTGTATACTGCACGGAGGGACCCTGGAAGGATCTCTGACCCAGACTGGAAGAATCAAAACCACCCTAAAGAGATGGCACTCTGTCTGTGTCCCGAAATACTGGGAGGTCGAGGCAGGAGGTCTGTGACCAAAATGTAAGTCATGAGGTTTAACAAACTCCTTTCTTCCTGTTCTAGACACTTTGGTTGCTCTCATAAGTGAGGTCTTCTCTTTGGCCATGTCTTCTAACTCAATTCAGAGTAACAGAACTGTCTGCAATGGTACCTGTAATCCCAGGACTCTGGAGGTTGAGGGAGGAGGAACGCCAAAAGTTCAAGACCAGTCTGGGCTACATAGTAAGTTCAAGGCCAGCCTGGTATATAGCAAGACTCTGTCTCAAAAAAAAAGTATGCCAAGTTAGAACTCTAGACACCACTGTCCAGCCCTTCTGCACTCACTCTGCACCATCTCCAGCCCAACCACAGGGGCAATCAGTCCTCTTCTTGCCCTCTCAGTCACTAACCCTGGCAATATTTCCATGGCCCTTTACTCTTGCACCATTGCAGGAGCAGGCTCTGCAGTCGCCTTCCTGCTTCCACTCTCTCCTCCTTCAACTCTTCCCCCACAGAGCAGCCCATACGTTCTTTGAAACTTAAACTGTGAGTGGCTCCCCTCCGTTCCTAGGATAAGGGCCAAGACTACAGGACCCAAAAGCGATGTGTGCGTCACACTCCTCCGCCTTCATCCTCAGCTTTGCCTGCAGCTCCTCCCGGCCTTGGTGCTCAGCCACACCGGCCCTCTTTCCCTCCTTGCCTGCACTGCTGCCTCTCCCTGCCCTGGGCTGGAGCCCACGCTGCTCCTCCTCCCGACGGGCTGTCTTGCTTCCCTCTTCTCCGTCTGGCTAAGTCCTCTCTTCCAGTGTCCGGCCAGGGGCTCTCAACCTAATCTGATTCCTCTTCCTCCTGACACTCAGGACAGCATGTTCACTTGGTTAGTGTCCGTTTGTCCAGAGAAGGGAAAAGCCCATAAAGGCAGACTCTGCTGTGTCCCCCACACTTAGAACAAGGCCTGCCACGTGGGGAGAACTCAATATTTTGTTGAATAAACTAATTTTCCACCTGCGGAGAGCTAATGCGTAAACAGCTTGGGCAGCTAGTTCATCTGATCTGAAGGAGGCAGGACCGGGAGGACCACATTTGAGAAGACCCTCTGAGCATTCTGTCCTGTGCAACTCTCAGCCCTCTCTAATCAAGTCTCCATGCAGTCAGGGAAACACTTTTTAAATGTAAGTCACTTCTCTGTGTAAATATCTTCAATGGCTTTCGGGCTGCTGTCAATTAAAATTCAAATTCTCGAGTGGGCTACATGCCCCGGCGGGCCTGACTGCTCTGCACCTCCCACCCCAGCTCGCATACTGCCCTCTGGGTGCTCCGGCCCCTGTCCGTCCTCCGGATACAGCAAGCTTCTTGCAGCGTGGATGGCACTGTCTCCTTTACCTGCATGCTTTCCCCGAGCTCTTTGAACATCTGGCCAATTCTCCTCCCTCATGGTTCAAGCCAATGTCACGTTCTCAGAACGTTCTTTCCTGAGCAACTAACGTAGAGTAGCTTTGTGCCAGTTCTTTTGCACATCACATTTCACAGCGAATATAAATTGGAAGTTCTTGTTTGTCATTGGTCTCCACCAAGAAAGTAACCTCTGTGTTGTTCACCTTGTCCTCAGAGCCTAGCAGGAGACTTACTGTAAATACCTGTTCAGATTAGGACACCAACGTCCTCATCAATGACTGAAGTGATTGTCTTCTTTGCAACGTTCAGGGCTTGTCCCTTTCTTCCAGCAGGTGGCGCCAAAGCCACACCTGGTCCTGAGAGGTGGTGCGTGGTAGGTGGCTTGACTGAGCGGTAGGACCTAGTGAGCTGGAGCGGACAGGGTCTGTGGTGGTAAAGCTGGGACCAAGCACGGGGGAATAAGATGGCATTGCTCTCAGAGGATGAGGACGAGCTGTCCACAGGGCCTGAAGTAGCCAGGAACACAAGGCATTTCTGGGATCCCAGATGCTTGCCCTCTCCCGCTATGCTCAAGTCTTCCCCCAAGAACTCAGCAGGGGCCTCTGAATAAGACAGCAATGAAACTGGTGAGAGGCTTTCACTCTTGCTGGCTCTGTCTCTCTTTCCTTTTTTTATTTTTAGTACATAGTAAGTAGCTACGTTTATTGAAAATCAAGGGACGGTAGCAGGAATAGGGAGAAAGGCAAGGAGAAAAAAAGAGGGTCAAGGAAAAAAGGACTTGAGGGTGAAGGGAGAAAAACAAATAGGCTTTTTTTCTTTTTTAACAGGATCTCTCTAAGTAGCCCAGCCCAGCCTCAAACTTGCGATTCTTCTGCCTCAGCCTCCTTCGTACTGTACCGGAATTCACAGGTATGTGCCCCTAGGCCCAACAAGGCAAGGGTTTCCCATCTTAATCCTCATAGAACATTTGGGGGAAACAGACCACAACGGAAGCATCTGAGTGGGTTAGGAGGAATGGCGTCTGCTCTTAACCCAAGCCCTCCCCAGTCATAGCTCACGCGCATTCAGCCCCGTACCAGCCTCTTCCGGCAGTGCCTGGCCCTGGGCTCCGTGTGGGACACAATAAGGGGGGCTGGGACTCTCTCAGATCTGGCCCAAGGGGCAGAGGGGCAGGAACCACTGAGAGCCTTGCTGGGGCGCTGACACGCTGGACGAGTGCCCACAGGTGCAGCTGAGGCAGGTATGTATGCCAGGGGTAGGCGAGTGGCCTGCAAGAAGGGCTGCACCTGGGTCCAGGGCTGGGGGGGTCAGCAGGAGCCTTGGACTCCTTCCTGAAAGCAATAGAGACTCCCAGAAGGGTTTGTGCTCGGGAGAGCTACTCGGGTGTCTCAGATAGTTTGCAGAGGCAATGTGAGGAGATCCAGTTAGAGACAAAGAGATCAGTCAGGATGGTTGCACCAGCAACCATCTAGGCGAGAGAAGCTAAAACCTGAGAAGTAATTATAAAAATGGGAAAAAAGTAAATTGTGTGGTTTAGGAAATTGAAATATATATATTTTTTTCAGCTGTAGGAACTGGACCCAAGGCCTCATGTGTACTAGACAAACATTCTACTACAGAGCTAGGCCCTCAGCCCTAAAGTATTTGTTTTTAAAGAACAGGACTTGAAGCTGGGCGCGATGACACATGCCTGTAATCCCAGCACTTGGGAGGCTGAGGCAGTAGAATCTTTGCGAGTTCGAGGCTAGCCTGGGCTACAAAGTGAGCTCAAAGCCAGCCTGAACTGCATAATGAGACCCTGTCTCAAAAAAAAAAATAGATAAAGAAAAATAAAAATAAATAAAAATAAAGAACAGGACTTGGTGGTTATGGGTCAGGCTGGGGGAATGCTGAGTGCCTCGGTTCTTTAGCGGACCAGGCCAGAACAACCCCAGGCTCCTGCCTTCTCCAGACAGCTTCTGACCAGGGATGATAGCTACAAAGGCAACGAAACTAGTTTGCAGGGACCAAACTGCTGGTTCCCATAGCAGCCCTAGGGCCATGGGAAGGGGCTCAGGCCCTAGAGCCGAACAGCTTGGATTCATGTATCCAGTTCTCCATCGCCTAGTGACCTCCGGCAGGTTACTGCATTTCCCTGTGTCTGGGTTTCCTCATCTGTAAAGTGAGACCAATGGAAGCTGCCACATAGGAAGCACTGGAGGCTAAGTGGGTTAGTGTGTACAGGCACATGCATGTTGGTGACACTTCATGGCATTTATAGAAGTGTGATTTGGTAGAACTTCATCAGTCACAGCGGAGCCCTCTCCCACCTAAAATGGAACACCACCTCCAAGGTAAAAACCAAGTCTGAAGCCAGGTGTGGTGGCATACGCCTGTAATCCCAGCACTTGGGAGGCTGAGGCAGGAGGATCACCATGAATTTGATGTCAGCCTGGGCTGCATATTGAGTTCAAGGCCAGCCTGAACTACCCACCAAAAGTATATATGAATATTCTTAACACCTCTCTGGACTTCATTGTCTATAAAATAATGAAGTTCAACTAGCTCCTCCTGACCCTGCGGCTCTGCTTCCCTATGACTTCGGAGGCTGGCCTCAGCATGAGACCCAGGCGTGTGTTGGGAGGCGACCCTTCCAACCTGTGAGAGCCCACTGTGAAATGGGAATTTAGCAAGGTGGTACAACCATGAGTGACTTGAACTGGGCTACAGTGGGAGTATTTGTACCACAAAAGTGGGACCAGTGCCCCTAGTCCTCTCCCAGCCACCTAGTGGGCCTCTTCCTATGACACTCACACCCAGCAGGTACACTGTCCCCCTACAACTCTGGAGGCCCCAGTTGTGAGCAAAGACTGACAGGCCTCCCGGAACACACCAGGTCCTGGTCGGCCGTGCCTCGCAGGTTCAGGCATGTGCAGGGCGGGCAGAGCAAGTGTCTGCCGGTCCCTCAGTCATTCCGGACCCAGGCGAGTGGAGAGTGGTGGCCTTGGGAGTCTCTCGGAGCTGGGGTAGAGTTCCAAGTAGATCATTTTTTTCTTTTTTATTTAAGATGGGGTTTCACTATGTAATCCAGGCTGGCCTCAAACTCTTAGCAACCCTCTTGCTTCAGCCTCTTGAATGCTGGGATTATAGGTGTGCACCACCCACCAGACTGAGTTAGATCACTCTTGGCTGTGTGACTTTAGTCTTGCCCCTCTATCACTCGAGCTCGGTCTTCTTATCTTTAAAATAGGGGCAGCCCTGACCTGGCACAGTGATTGCAAGGGTTAAATGAGCATTTCTACCAAGGCACACCCAGCTTCCGCATGGTGCCTGGTACAGAGTAGGTGCGCGGTAAATGTTATCTGAGGCTGTTGTCATCCCCCAGATGGTCTCCCCGCCCAGTGGCACCTGGGGCATAGTGCGCCCTCTCATTGTCTGAGTCTTGGCACCAAAAGGCTTGGTGAGGGGCTGAGGACACAGACAGAAACAAGCATTTTCCAGCTTTTATGAAAATTAATAACATTAATAGCTCACAGACATATACATACACATATCGCTATGTACACACATGGTCATTAAGTTATTAATTAGTCTCTGTATAAAAAGTGTCTATGCTAGTGTTCTGGGCTGGGCCCAATCAGTCCTTGGCATATTCACAGTAGCAGCCCAGGGCTTGGCCCTGTGCGTGGGCAGAGGGGAGGCAGGAGCCGCAGCACGGGCAGCCCCCCTTGAACACAGGAGTGAGTGTCCCAGGCCGCACACGTTCCGGTCTTTGGTCCCTGTCTTGGCACCTGGAGAGCAGCTGTTCAGCAAGTGGGCAGAGGTCCTGATCCCCATGTGGGCTGGTGACGCAGCCTTCCATGTATGGCTTCCGGAGGCGCAGTGGCCCCTAGAGGATGCTGGCCAGCTCTGTGGAGTCTGTGTCAGAGCAGCCTGAGCTGCTGGCTTCATCCCTGCAAGAGCCAGAAAGAAGGAGTTGGGGAAAAGTGCTGGAGGGAGCAGACTTACCCCGGCACCACCTCCACCTGCCTCCCTCCTCGGGAGCTGGGCCCTGTTGGACTCTTCTGAGCGGCAGGGCAGCTGGCTCACTCTCTTTCAGCCAGGAGCTGCTGTTGCTGTTGCCTATTCTTGCTGCACCTCAAACCCTTGAGCTACACTGTGGCACAGGCTGGCTGATAGGCTGCCGTGACTCATCTGGCCCTGCCCTATGGTTGTAGGTCGCGCCCAAGCTCCCCAAAGCCAGCAGGGCAGTGGCAGAGGCCACAGGCAGCAGTGAGAGTCTTGGACAGGGCTCAGAGCTCTGTTCTGCCCTTTATCCCAAGGCTGGTCACTGTTCTGAGGTAAACTTCAGTTTCTTCACGGGCAGAAAGGGAATCATAAGAATCTCAGACATGCAGTGTTGCTGGAAGACCACATATGGGAAACCGTAAACACCTAGTCCCAAGACACAAGCTCCTTGAGGGCAGGGATTTTTGTTTTGCTCATGAGTGCAGTGCCGGCAGTGGTAGGGGCCAGTAAGTATTTGTTAAGTGAATGAATGCAGAGTCATTTGGTACAGGACCCGGTGTAAGCTCAGCGTGGGCTGGGAAGGCGTGCAGGCAGTGAGACTGGACTTGGCCCCAGGAGGCACAAGGGGCTGCTGAGCCCAGGCACCACCCCTCCCTGTTCTCACCGCAGAGCCTGCAGGGCCTTCTTGTTCTGCCGCCGCTTCTCCTCGTCAATAGGGTATAGCTTGAAGAGCAGCAGGCCCAGCAGGATGAGGGTTATGGGCGTCAGGGCCACCAGCATCTTCAGCGTGAACTTGACGCGTGCCGGCTGGGAGCAGCCCCGCGACCGGTACCCAGCAAAGCTGTGGAAATCCGGCCAGGAAGAAGAGGTGAGCAAGCGTGGGGCACCTAGGGCTCAGCCCTGCCCTGGGCTGCCCCAGACCCCTGCCCCACTCACTCGAGACTGAGGGTGGAGATGCCCATCGAGACTCCAGAGGCGAACTTGGTGAAGAAGACATAGAAGGAGAAGAAGATGGGCTCTGTGCCGTGGGAGTGGGGGTGCTTCAGGTGGAAGTCATCGATGACATCAGGCAGCATGGACCTGTGCAGAGTGGGTGGTGGCCGCCATGAGGACTCCCCAGCACTGCCTGGCCACCAGGCACCTTGGTGTCAACCGGAAGGGAGGCCCTCAGGCAGTCGACAGCCCCATAGCCCACAGCTCCGAGCCAGAAAAGAAAGCCCATTCCTGCAAGATGAAGGGTCCCAGTCCAGGCGCCCAGCTCGCAAGCGGCATGCAGGCTGCCCTGCGTTTCCCATGGTGATGAGGTGTTCACACCCTGTACAACTCTCTGGGCAGATCCCCTCTGCCCTCAACTTGAGCCCACAAGAATGGCCTACAGAAGTCCCCAAGGAACTCACCCCAAGGAGCTTTGGAGCTAGAGGGTAGATGGCTGGGGACTACGCCCAGGTGAGCCTGGATGCACTTACCAGGGTAGTAGGAAGGCTGCTGCTACACTGATGCCAGCTGCTACAGCCACCACATATGTGATGATTAAATTACTCTCGATGAGGGCCACCAAGATGAGAAACGGCACTGCTGACTAGAGGGGGGTGTGGGAATGTGGGTCAGCAGGGAGGTTGCCAGCAGGAGCCCACCTCAACCCAGGAGCCACCGCCAAGCTCACTCACTGAGATCCCAATGTACACAGCTGTCTTCTTGCCAAAGCGGGTCAGAAACCACTGCCAGAGGGGAATGGTGAATGTGGCTGAGAGCTGTGGGTGGATAAAGGGGTGAAGGGTGGGATGGAGCAACAGAACCTTTCCTGGCCTTCCCAGGACCCCCAAAGGTGTTTCCAGCCCTGCTGGGGGCAGCCAGGGGGCGTCGTCTGGGCAGCAAGAAAGTGAAAGGCATGTGCATGGCCCTTCTACCTTCTCATAACTTGGAGTACAAGGCCACGAAGTAGCTGACGTCCATACCTTTGCTTTTGCTGTGTCTCTAACACGCACTCCCAAACTTCTTCACCTTCCTTTTTGTGAATGTGTGATACCAGGGATTGAACCCAGGGCCTTTACACTAGCTACATCCCCACCCCTTTGTTATTTTTTATTTTGAGACAGGTTTTCGCTAGATTGCTAAATTGCCCAAGCTGGGGTTAAACTTGTGATCCTCTTGCCTCAGCCTCCCAGAGTGCTGGGCGTGTGACACCGTGCCTGGCTCCCAGACTCCTTCTTTTACAATCCTACCTAAGCAGCTATAGGTTGGGTCCAGCCAAATATCCTGGGAAGCCTCCTCTAGCCCTTCATCTAGGGGCCAGTCTGGGAACATCCTCTAGGTGTCCAAAGAGCCACCTGCAGCCTGTGCCACATCAGCCCACCCACACTCACCATGATGGCCAGGAGCAGATTCTGGAACTCATTGCGGAAGCCCAGGGTGTAGGTGCAAAACAGAGCAAAGTTCCCTTCCACCAGCTGGGGGACGCAGCAGGCAGGGAAGGAAGGAGATGGTGTTGGGGCTGTGCCTCCCCAAGACACCCCCCACACTCTGGAGACCTCTGCCCCCTCCCCACGCCCCCTGCCCCTCAGTTCCGCCTCACCAGAGTCCTCTCCAAACCCAGCCCTCTTGGGCTGGACACACTGGGCCCCCACTCACCATGAACGCCAGGGAGGTAAAGAGGAAGGCAGCAATGAGCTTGACGTATGGGCCATGGCTCATGACCAGCCGAAGGCCCCGGAAGAAGGGCACTGGCTCAGCCTGCTGGGTCTCACAGGGCTCTGGGGAACAGGGGTGACAGTGAGAGGGAGCAGCGGGCCAGGCAGAAAGACACTGCCACCCCGTGCTGGGGCCTGTACCGCGTCCCCGGACCCCTCTCACCTCTCCGCTCCCGCACGCCCAGGGTCAGGATGACAGCACAGACCACGTAGATGGAGCCAATGACCCCCGCTGCGAGCAGGTATGCATTTTGCTGTAAAGGAGGTGAAGGTGACAGAGACAGTCAGTCTGGTCTCCTCCCAGCAGCCCCACTCAACCATCTGCAGCCAGTCCCTTCTCTGGGGGACTTATTGTCTCCATCTGTGGAACCATTGACTCATCCTGGCCCTGCTGAGGCTTCCCAAGGCTGGGTAAAGTTCGGATGTACAAAAGGTCAAAAACCAGGGGTCTGCCAGTCCGCAGTTCAAATCTCCCCAAATCTTTGCCATTTACCAGCACTGTGGCTCTGGGCAAATCACTCAGTCTTTCTAGACTTCCGTTTCCTTGTCAGCATATTAAGTGACTATGTATATCAAAGGCCCAACAATTAAGAAACATGAGGCTAGGTGTGCTGGCACACACTTATAATCCCAGCACTCAAGAGACTGAGGCAGGAGGACCGCCACCATCTTGAGGCCAGACCGGGCTACATAGTGGACGCTGTCTCAAAAAAAAAAGAAACAGATTAGGAAATATGAGCTCTTGCTTCTATTTAGAGGCTGACTCTAAAGCACTCCACTGTTCCTCATCTCCCCAGATCCACGTCCTGCCAGGGAAGGGCCTCACCGTTTGTCTGAGTGAGGAGATGCTGTGCGTGCGATTGCTGCTTTCTGAGGCCAGTGCAGAGTCACTGGGGTCCTGGAGACAAGGCGCATTCGCTTGGCCTACGATCTGTCCCTGGATCGCTGTGCCCAGCACTGTGCCCAGAACCTCCACGGTCATCCCTGGGTAGAGAAAAGAAGGTCTTTCAGGGGAGCCTCAAGGCTTATGGGCCCAGGGAGGAAGCCCAGGTACATGCGGGCCCTGCTCCAGCTCCAGGTTTGGTGGGTGGCGGAGGCAAGTGTCAACACTCATGGGCCAACACTCATGGCCTCTCTGTGCGACCTCAGGTTAGTCCTTACATCATTCTGGGTCTCACCTGAGCAATAAGGGGACCAAGTTATTTCTAAGAGTTTTCTAGAGTTTCTAAGAGTTATTTCTAGAGTTTCATGAACTAGAGCTTAGTGAAAGAGCACCTATTCACATACACGAGGCTCTGGCTCAAACCCCCACACCACACATACACAAGAAGCTTTCACACCCACAGCTAAGAGCAGAGCAGGGAGCTGGGCCTGCAAGGGATGGAGCAAGGCAAGGTGAGAGGGCGCAGGAGCAGGGCGCAGGGAGACTTACGATAGGCCGTGGCTGAGTCCCGCTCACTCTGCTCAGTGCTGATGAACATGGTAAGTGCCGAGTAGGGAACATGGAAGCACTGGCATGGAAGAGAGGCCTTGGCCAGTTAGTGCACAGATAGATGCCAAAACCCCAGGGCCTGCCCCTACCCCAGCTCCAGCCCAAGGATACCGAGAAGAGGGGCCCACACTCACCGTGACCAATGTCTCAAAGAGGCAATAGAAAATCAGGTACCAAAGGGCCTGCCCCCGTGGGAAGTCGGGCACGAACCAGATGAGGAAGTAGGCGACGACAGCCAGTGGTGTGGAGAAGATGATCCTGAGGAAGGGGAGGTCTGAGTGGAGGCCAGAACCCCAGGAGCCCAGCTGAGCCAGAGGTCCAGCTCTGCTCTCTGGGTTCCCACCAGAAGGAAGTTCCTTCTGATTCCACCCACCCCTGGGCCAAGCCCAGAAGGACACTCTGGGATTGGCCCTGGACCAAGTCCTGAGTGTGGAGTGGGAGCAGGTCAGACTGGAGTCTCATCCACATCTCCCCAAGAGCAGGCGCTTCTTTGAGCTGGGGGACCTGAGCAGAGGACAAGACCTCAGGGCAAGCAGGCAGGGAGAAGAGGCCACCTGGCACCTGTTTTCACATGTGCACACACACAGCTGGGCTGGGGTGGGGAAGGCCAACTCCGGGCAAAGGAAGATGGAGGACTCAGGTGGAGGACTGGGCCTAGTGATGCAACTTTGAAGGGCAAAGGTCTGCCATCCGCACGTGAGTCCTGCCCTTCACAAAGGGCGGGCCTCACACTGGACGGACACCTCAGCTTCAGCAGAGAAAGCAGCAGAGGGTGAAGGCTAAGAGATCCAAGTGTGACTCTCCCAGCTAACCATAAAAACTTAGGCTTGGACAAGTTATTTAACTTCTCTGACTCACTTCCTTCTGCATAAAATAACAATAAAAAATAGCACATGCCTTACATTCAATATTTGCTCAGATATTTATTATGTCCCCATTGTGTGCTGGGCAACATTCTAATTGCTTAAGATGTATCAGTGAACAAAAAGGACAAAAGCAAGAGCAGAAAAAAAAAGAACAAAAACATTGTCCTTGCAGAATTTACATTCTAGTTGGCTACCAGCAAAAATAAACATAGTTTAAAATGATATATACTCAGCCTTAAGAAGGAATGAACTTCTCACCCATGCTACAACAGGGATGAACCTCAAAGACCTTAGGCTCAGTGAGATAAGCCAGTCACAAAATAATAAATATAGTACAATTCAGCTTGTATGAGGCAAGCAAGCTTGAGTAGTTAATGTCATAGACATGGAAGAGAGAAAAGCAGTCCTGAGAGCTGCAGGAGAGGAGTGAGTGTTGCTGATGATGGGTATAGAGTTTTAGTTTGGGAAGATGAAAAAGTACTGGAGGTGGAAGGGAGGTACTGGTCACAGGAAGACCGGAATGTACTTAATGTCAGTGAACAATACTCTTCAAATGGTTCTAAATGTTTTGTGGGTTTTTTTTGTTTGTTTGTTTGTTTTTTGTCTTTTTGAGACAGAGTCTCGCTATGCAGTTCAGGCTGGCCTTGAACTCATTTTGTAGCCCAGGCCGGCCTCGAACTCACAGCAATCCTCCTGTCTCAGCCTCCTGAGTGCTGGGATTATAGGCATGCACCACCACACCCGGCAGTTCAAAATGTTAAATGGGAACAGTACACATATTTTGCCAGTTTTCAGAAAGGTTATATACACAGGGCATGATGGCGCACATCTGTAATCCCAGCACTTGGGAGGCTGAGGTAGGAGGATTGTTGTGAGTTTGAGATCAGCCTGTAGTACAAAGTGAGCTCAAGGCCAGCCTGACTGTGTAGTGAGACCCTGTCTCAAAAAAAAGGCTATGCACATGTGGGAAGGTAGTAAGTACTTTGGAGAGCTGCAGAGCATTAGAAGTGAGAAGCAGAGCCTAAGGCCTTGCCTGGAAGTCCTAAGTGGCAGCAGGAGGCAAGAATCTGCCGGGCAGGGCTGAGGAACAGCTAGAGTGCCAGTGGGGCCAGAGTGTCAGCAGCAAGGGAGATGGAATTAGGAGACAAACTTGGAGAGGAAATAGGGCACTTCACGGGCTCCCCCAAGGACTTTCGTTCTGCTTTGTAGGGTTGAAGTAGTTTTAAGATTTAAATAAGTCGATGTGAAAATGCAGGCCAGTTTGTTGCACTTGGACGCTGTTTGCTGTGACTCCAAGAAAATTTGCAGGAGAGCAGGCCTGCAGGAGTAGCACAACCCATAGCCTGGGGACCTGGGGCTAGGAATCAGACCACAGGTCCAGCCTGCTTCTCAGCCTCCCCTTATGACCTTGCTGACCACCTGCCTCTCACAAGGTGGCCTTGGGGACACCAGGGAAAGCACCTGTCAAAGTCTTTGGCGTGAAGGGAGGATTACAAGAGGGGCTGCCCTGAAACTTGCAGAACAGGCCCCAGGCTCTTCCTATCCCGAAAGGAAGAGGGATTTGAAGAGGGGCCCAGGTCCTCGCTGTGGTGCAGAGGGAAGCCATGTGTGCAGCGGCCGCTCAGCCTGTGAGCTTCTGGTGTTCACTCAGACACATACAAAGATACCTGCTAAAACAGAAAGCAGCCCAGTGTCCCCAGCACCTTCCCCAAACTGGCTGCCACACCTGCCCAGCTCAGGTCTTCAGATACTTCCGGATGGCTGCTCTGCCTCCTCTGCCCTCTCCAAACCATGTGTCTCTTCAGAGACGAGCGCTCATCACCCTTCCTCAAACACTCCATCCTCTGCTCTAGGCAGCTGAGTAGTGCTGCCCAGGAACCCCATGTGACCGCTGCATTGGCCTGGCTCAGCACCCACTCCCATTGGCTGGGCCTCATGAGGAGATGCGGCAGCAGGGCCCGCCTTCCACTGGCTGCCAAGGTTTCGGGCACAGGGCCAAGGCTCACGAGCTGGCACGCTGGGAGCCCTGAGCAGCCTGCCCAGGTGAAGTAGTCTGTCCTACCCGTGGCCCTGAAGCCTGGATCAAAGGCTCCAGCCTGGGCCTTTGCCAGGGCCTGGCAGGATTATAGTGGGTGGGAGGCCTCGTGGGAAAGGAAGCTGTGGGGGTTTGGGGGCCGCTGGAAGAGCTTTGAAGCCCGGAGACCAGGTATGGGCGCCCCTGGGGCAGGAAGGCGCCCACTTGAGCTTGGATGGGCTGGAGATGAAAGGGGCACCCCCCCACCCCTGAAGCAGGATGTCCTGGAGGGAACCAGAGCCCAGCCTGGCTGGTCTTCTGTGCCTCCCTTGCTGTCTGATCTACGGGAACTGCCTCCCCCAACCTGACCCCACAGCCTGAAGCTGAGTGGTGGATGCTTTGTACTGAGGGAAAAAGTTCCCATCATTCAAGGTCCCAGAGCTTAGGGTCTGCGATACCATTCCTGACATTGTCTCCGATCCCCGTCCCACGAAGAGCCACACAGAAAGAGTACAAATTACATAACACTTAGTAGGTACCGTGCCAGGCATGGAGGCTGAGGCAAGAGGATCACCGTGAGTTTAAGGCCAGCCTGAACTACATAATGAGTTCAAGGCCAGCCTGGAATATATAGCAAGACCTCATCTGAAATATACATATGCCAAGCCTTGCCACGCTCATAATCCCAGCGCTTAGAAGGCTGAGGCAGGAGGATCAACATGAGTTCAAGGCCAGCCTGGGATACACAGAGTTCAAGTCCAGCCTGAACTACATAGAAAGATTATCTCAAAAAAAGGTGCCAGGCACTGTCCTGAATATTATACATATTCACAACCATTTAATCCTCACCACAACACTGCAAAAAGTTCCTTATCCCCATTTTACAGATGAAGACATTTGAGGCTCAGAGACATTAAGTGACTTGCTCAAAGTTGCACAGCTGTAGGTAGTAAGGCTGGAATTCAAACCCTTGCAGGCTGGCTGGAGAGTGCAATCTCTCAGCTGCTCTGAACTGCCCCTCTGCCACCAAGCAAGGGACTGGGTACTCCTTGGGAAGCAGGCGGACCTGGGCCAAGGGGAGTTGACCGGCCCAGCACTTCAGCCAGCCTGGGAATGACCTGGCTCACTGTCTCGGTGTGCATGCCTTGGGCAGCTGAGGCCTCAGCTGAAGTCTCAACACCCTTGGACTTTGATCCCTTCTCAGCACCCCAGCCTGAGACAAGAGATGGAAAGACTCCCCCCTCAAGGGGCAGATGTACAGGAAGCTCCTGCCACCTGGAAGATGTCTTCTACTTACCAGGGCATGAGGCGACCCAGGCGGGTCCAGGAGGATTTGCTAATGCAGAAGCCCACCAGAGGGTCCGTGAAGGCATCCCAGGCTCGGCCCACAAACAGGATGATGGAGGCAGAGAAAGGGTCCACCTAGAAGGGGGAGGAGGTGGGAAACAATCCTTTTATTCCTAGACCCATCTCAGTCCTCACTGCACAGGCCCATGAGACCCTGTGCTGCGCCCACCTGGGCCTTGCACATCTCCACTTACCAGGTTAATGATAATAGCAGGCCTGGGGATGTAGCTCAGGGTTTGCCTAACATGTATGAAGCCCCGGGTCCAATGCCTAGGACCACAAAATAAGGCAATAGATTTTGCGTGTATGTGTACTGGAGACTGAACCCACCACCTTATAAATAAGCGGCATTTCTCTCACACTGAGCTATATCCCCAGCCTTTTATATTTATTTTTTGTCTTGATGGGGTCTTGCTAAATTGCCCAGGCGGGACTCAAAATCGATAATCCTCCTGCCTCAGTCTCCTAAAGTACTGGGATTACAGGCATGTGTTACCACACCTGGTTTGACATGTGATTTCTTTGATAACAGTAGCACTGTGTGCCTCCTTAGGGACTTTTCCAGATCTATTTCCTACCCCTTCTGCTGCCTTTGAAAACACTCCCATGAGGTAGAATGAATCTAGAATCATTCCCTAATCAGCCAGGTATGGCAGCACAGGCATGTAATCCCAGTACCCAGGAGGCTGAGGCAGGAGGAACATTTCAAATTCAAGGCCTGTCTGGTCTACATAATTAGTTCAAGGCCAGCCAGAACTACTCAAAAAAGAAAAAAAAAGAAAAGAAAAAAGAAGCAATAGAATCACTTCCTTCCCTCCCTCTCACAGCCCCAAGCCCCTGGCCACCTGACAACAGAACTAGCATTCATTAATTAGCCACAGTGGGCCTCAGTTTCCCCATGTGGGAGTTATGATTGCTATCTTACAGGGTCAGGCCTTATCTCGGATACTTGGACATAGGAATCTACAGATTTTTTTTTAGACAAAGTCTTGTTATGTAGCCCAGGCAGGGCTTGAACACTCAGTTCTCCTGCCTTGGCTTCCTAAATGCTGGAATTACAGGTATTAACCACCATGCCCAACTATAGATGCTTTTTGTTTGTTTGTTTTGAGACAGGGTCTCTATGTAGCCCAGGCTGACCTTGAACTCACTGCAATCCTCTTGGTCCAGCCTCCGATCCTCTTGGCTCAGCCTCCTGTGCTGGGATTATAGGCATGCGCCACCATGCCCGGCAAATGTAGATGCTTTTTAAAAAGTGGCCTGTGACTACCTGTTCAAACTATCCCTCTCCTTCCAAATACCGTAGGCTCTAAATGCTCTAAATCTAGAAGCTCTGGGTTCCTCCTCATCCATCGCAGGCCGGCTATTGCTATCGCTCTGGGAAGCTCGCGGCCCCTGCCATGCCATCATCTCTCCAAGCAGACCTCCCTGCACCCCAGCTCTAATACTCACTACAACAGCTTTATACTTCAATCACAGAGACTAGCCCAAGGAAACTGCTCAAAATCTAGGGGCTGAATGAAATCCTTTGTCCTTTCTGGGGCTCAGTGCTTCCCACCTGTAAATAGATAAGGTGCCCTGTTTGTCAAGTCAGATGCTACACAGACAATTTAGCCACTGCAGGAGCCCCGGTACCCTTGGCTATTCAGCTTCCTACTCCCCTAATGACAGGACAAATTCTCAGAATGCCAGGCTGCTGGCCAAGACTTCTCAAAGCAGTGTAGCACTGCTTTACCCTAAGCATTCCTCGCACTTGAAGATCCTTCGTCCTGGGGTACTCTAATTTAGCCCAACACCTAGAGGCCCCTCAACCCACTGACAAGCCTCTGCTCCCCACATGAACATGGGATACGCTTCCTCCACAAGCCTGACGATGTCTGCTAACCTCCGAGCCAAGTTAGCTGTCTTCTAGCTAGGGACATGCTGTGCCAGTCAAGCTGTGCCAGTCTCTTCTAAGAACAGTGTCACCAGTAGGTCCCATTTTCCTTCACACTACTGCCTACCCTTCCAGGCTCTGTTGTTCCTGCCAGGAATGGAAGAGTTGCCATCTAAGACTCCCCACTTGGATATTTTCTAAAGTCTTATTTCTCACCCACTGTGACTCTAAGAGACAGCAAAATAGATTTTTCTGCCCCATTTTTATAAATAAGTAAAACAGAGTGAACATATCCAGCGATATCTAGTCATTCCCATGTGGAGATACCAGAAGAGCCTGGAAGGCTCAGGTCACTCACCAGAGCTACGTCCAACAGGTAGATCTGCAGGAAGAAGCCCAGGGCACAGCCTGTCACCTGGTAGGGGGCCCCTCCAACTGCATAGCAGAGCTTGTTGCAAACTGACAACTGCTGTTTCTTCTTTGGTTCCTTCTGGGAAGAAGAAGAAAGGATGAAAGTAGGTCCAAGATCATGACTTCCATCCTAGAAGCTCCAGAGGCAGGACCATCCCTCCAGACAACTCTGCCAGGAGGAACAACTCTGTCTTCCCTGGTCCCACCTGGAGAGATCCCACTTCCCACAAACAGAGAATTCCCTATTCTTAGGAACGTGGAAAAAAGGAAGCTCTGACTCCTAGGGAAGTTGCTCCTAAGTCACCCACTCTCCCTTGCTAGATTCTGAGGAAAGTTACTAGCTACCATCTCTAAAGAACTCTCCCCAAGGCCTCAGCTACTGCTCCTTTCCAAATTCCAGAGGGAGAGCATGCTCCAGCAGCAGACCTGTCCCCACCCGGCACCAGCTGCCACAACCTGAAAATCCTCTTGTGGCTGAGAGCTGCCTGAGCTCAGCCTGGGCTCCAGCCCTGGCTCCAGGGCCAGGATCCACCTGCCCACTGGTAAGAACTCTAGAGAGCTGTAGGGGCCCAACCCAGCTAGCTGCAGGCACAGCTGTTCCTCCCATCTGTCCCTTAGCGTCCCTAGTCCCCATAGGCAGCCGGAGCTTCAGGGAAACTCAGGAGCTGTCCTATGCTCCAGTTTCAGCTCCTAGGGGACCTTGGAGAGGGTAAGAAAGGCCCCTAGGTGCAAGACTGGACTCTGTCTAGGTGGGGCGCTAGGGAGGTTGAGGTTGCCCAGGGAAAGTAGAGATTACTCATACCCGGTAACAGCATAATTGCTCATCGGTCTCCTTCCAAGGATCAGTTAATAAAATTAAAAGGAAAAGGTAGTCACCTCCCAAGGAGATATTTATTGCCTGAGATCCCTTCGTGGGTCTGCCTGGTTTCATTCGGTCGTTAAATATGTCTATAGGGCTCTGGCTGGGGCCGGAGCGGATGGTCGAGACACAGAGCACTGCGCACACGAACACTCACACTCAAACGCCTGCGGAACGCGGCTCCTTTAAGAGCCGAGCCCTTGTTCTTATGAATGAACTTGAGCAGCCCTCACAGCAGAGTAGAGGCGAGAGTAGGAGGGTGAGGGTGGGGGTTGGGGTGAGGGTAGGGGGTCGCGGTGCGGGAAGGGGAGGGTCTCAGATCTCTGGGGTCTCTCCAGCTTCTAGCGCGGCAAATCCGGGCTGCTCTTTCCAGAAGAACCGGAACCAGCTGGGCACAACCGGGCACTAAGTGGAGCTGCGAGTTGGACGCTCCGCCGAGATAGAGTGTGGGGAGAGCAAAAGGGGGTGTGAGCGCCCCAAAACCTTCTCATCACTTCCAGGTCCCAGGGCCACCCCCTGCTCATTCTCCTGCTCCTAGGCCTCCGGGTCCCCGGCCATCCCACGTGCCAGGCCTGACGTCCGACAGCCTCATGCGCCCATTTGGTCCGCCCGTCGCCCCTTCCGTCCACTCGGGGTGCTGGGCCCTTACCTTCACCTGGGCCTGGCGTTCGCCGGCTTGGAGGATGCTGGGGGACAGCAGCCCCGCCGCGGAGCCGCTCTCGGAGCCCTCTCCTTTGGCCATAACCCGCGGGCCACGGCGTCTGAGGTCTGAGACCAGGACGCAGGGATGTGCCTCTCCTCTAAGGGCTCCTACTCTTCCTGGGCTCCGGTCGCAGCCACCGCACCACTGTCGCCGCGGACCAGCAAAACCCAAAGGCAGGCGAAGAGTAACTCTGCTCCACGCGCACACCGAACCTCTTAAATGTTCAGCCCCGCCCTCCGGGTAGGACCAATCGCTGACTCCGGATGCCCCGCCTCGAGCCAATCCCCGCACCCGCTGGCCCTCTTCCCGGCCCCGCCCCCGCGGCCCCGCCCTGGTGGCGGAGCCTTGCCGCTGAGCCACGTTCCCTAAAATCCCGAAACCTGCTGCTGCTGCGCTGCGTCCTTGCCGCCGAGGAAGGCTGCGAACCCTCCCTGATCCCTGCGAGGAGACTGAGGCCCAAGGCTCGGAGTGGCCCACCCGAGGTCCCCCAGTGAGTTCTGCGTGAGTCGAGCCTGCCGCCCATGCCTTCTGACCTTAGGAAAGAAGGGGGCTCGGAGACCTAGCGGTCCCTCCAAAATCTGGAGTCGGAGCCGTCGTAACTGTCCGCGGTAGCCCACCCCGCGTTCCCCAGACGCAGCGTGTACGTTTATCTTTGTTTTCTCCCTCTTTTTGTATCTGCTCGGTCCACCCTCGCTCTGCAGAACCAGTTTCTCTCCCACTCTTTATTTTTGTTTTCACGAATAAACTTTACCGTTCCGTTTTCCTCCAAACAGAAACAAAACCTGGAGTCGGGTCACCTTATCCCTTTAACCTGGAGGTGTAGGGTGTCACTTTGCCCACCGATGTCTCCCTATTTTCTCCTGAGAACAACCATCCCCACTTCCTGTTGATTGACATCTATGGGGCTCTTCTCGAGGGAAGACAGAAGTGAGGAGCGCAGTGGCTGCTGCAGAGCAGCCAGGACCACAGGGCTTCGCAGGGTGACAGGTCCCTTCAGGCCTCGCTCGCGCTCACAGCCACCCTATAAGGGCAGGACTGTTAGTACCATTCCCGTTGTACAGCCCCGGAAAGGCATCTCTCCAAGTGGAGCTGCCGCTACATGCCACAGCTAGGCCTGGAAGGTTTTGTCTGATTCCGAAGTCTTTCATCTTTTTTTCATTTCTTTCTTTCTTTTCCTATTTTTAAGTTTTCTCTTAGCAGCCCTTCTCTATCAGTGCCACCACTTAGGATAAATTATGGAAGGCAGAGTGGGGTCCATTCCTCAGCAAGAAGTCCTGAGAGAGGCAAGGCAATAGGGTGGGGGAGGATGGGGAGGGTTAAAACAATCTGCAAAGTCTGAGAAAGATACAGAGTAATCAGGTTCTTGAAAGAAAACAGGAGGATAGCAATCTAGAATAGAGGTCAGGAACAGATGCCAGGAAAGGAGAGGCTGTCATTCCACCTCTGCCAACCTCACACCAGTCTTTGAAGAGACTCAGGAGACTGGGTAGGGCCAGTTGTGTCTGACCAGTGAGAGAAGGAGCTACTGGGACTCTCAGTGGCCACAGTAATCCTCAGTGTCAGGCTTTTTTTTTTTTCTTTCTTTCTTTAAATTGATGATTTGCTGGGCATCGTGGTGCAAGCCTATAATCCCAAAGGCTGAGGCAGGAGATGCCCACAAGTTTGAGGCAACCTGGGGCTACATACTGAGTTCAAGGCCAGAGTGAACTGCATAGCAAGACCCTGTCTCCAATAAACAAATAAATACATCCAATAAACAAACAAGCAAACAAATAAATAGCTGATTCAGGGAGGACAGATGAGGTTTGGCTCCTTCATATTCACTAGTAGATCCCATCTCAGCACATGGCTCTTTGGCCAAGTGGACCAAAGTGACAAGGACACAGATGACCTCCATACCTCCACTGTGAGTCACGTGACGCTGTTCTCTGTTGCTTCCCTTCTGCAGGCTTGAGATGGCTAAGGAAGACTCTATGGTCCCTCACAGCTCTGAAATCTCCCTTCTTTGTAGAACCACTGTTTCACAAGTGACCAGGACACCCACCCCATGATGTGCTCCCTGAGGGTAGGAACTACATCTTCTTCACTCCCATATCCCACAACTAGCTTGGAACCTAACTCCTTGTAGTCACTGAATAAGCACAGGTGCAACAAATGAATGTTCAGTCCTGAAGTACAAGCACAGCAGGCCCCACTCAGAAAAGCCCCAGTGGTTGGCCATGGACAACTCAGTTCCCGCCCTCGTGCGTAGAGTGGGGACAGTCACAGGACCTACCTCCGAGAGTCTTTTGGGATGAAATAAGAAAATGCACAGGAAGCATTTAGCCCAAGAGCCTGGGAGCAGAGTCTGAGCTGGTCCCCGTCCTGGCCCGATTCCAGTCTGTCAGTGTAGCAACGCAAGATTCCAGATATGGCCTGACCAAGCCAGCACAATAGGCCTATTATTTCCCCCAGTCTGGACACGACACATTGTTCATGCAGCCTAAGACTGCTGGGCTTCAGAGCCTTTCTCTCTCATGATTAGTTCCCATCAGGTTGTGGTCAACTAAATCATTCAGAGCCTTTCCACCGGAGCCGGGGTCAAGTCAGGTCTCGCCCCACCCTCTGGTTTGTGTAATGTCGTCATCCTCACAGCAGCACAGTGTCATTTCGCTCATTCCGGCCAGTTAAATTGTTCAGCATGCTGGCTCTGCCCAGTGTTTTTCTCTCTACTTTAGATCCAGTCTTGCCCCTTGCAACTTCAACTCCACCATGCACATGGTTTTCAGGACAGAGCCCCGTAACAGGCCACTCGAGACATTCACATACTACTGAGTCAGGGCACTGCTGATACAACAGCTCCCAATTATTGAGCACCCCCTGTATGCTAGGCAAGCACCCCGCTGCTTGTGCTTTATGGAGACCATCTTACTTACCCCACACAATATCACTGGGGACCTGAACGTGATGAATGTTCAGCCCTCACCTTTGATCCCAGCAGTCTGGGAGGCTGAGGCAGGATGATCACAAACTCAAACCCAGCCTGGACAATTTAAGACTTAGCAAGACACTTTCTCAAATGAACAAACAAACAGGACTGGGGATACAGCTAAGTATAAAGGCCTTGTTTCACAAAAAATAAAGTGGGGAGGGGTATTACTTTCATAATCCTAGACTAAACCTGGGCATGGTGGCACACACCTGTAATCCCAGCACGTACTTCAGGGAGGAGAGATGAGGTTTGGCTCCTTCATATTCGCTAGTAGATCCCATCTCAGCACATGACTCTTTGGCCAAGTGGACCAAAGTAAAGCAGCCAAATACTGTGACAAGGACACAAATGACCCACCCTCTGGTTTGTGTAATGTCGTCTTGTCCATGGCCAACCACTGGGGCTTTTCTGAGTGGGGCCCTGCTGTGCTTGTACTTCAGGACTGAACATCCATTTGTTGCATGGAAGATGGTTTCCAGTTCAAGGCCAGCCTGAGCTACAAAGTGAGCTCAAGGCCAGCCTGAACTTCATAGCGAGAAATTGTCTCAAAAGGGGAAAAAAAAAAAAAAAATCCTAGACTAAAACAGGAGAAATGGAGATTATATTTCATTTTTTTTTCTTTTTTGGTTTTTGGAGATAGGGTCTCCCTATGTTGTTCAGACTGGCCTTGAACTCACTTTGTAGCCCAGACTGGCCTTGAACTCACAGTGATCTTCCTGCCTCAGCCTCCTGAGTGCTGGGATTATAAGCGTGGACCACCATGTCTAGGGTTTTTTGTTTTTTGTTTTTTTTTTGGTACTAGGGTCTGAACCCAGAGCCTGAGATATATCACTAGCCCTTCTCTTGCTTTTTTTTGTTTTGTTTTTTGAGACAAGGCCTTTTTCAGACAAGGTCTTGCTCTTGCTCTGGGCTACTCACTATATAGCCCAGGCTGATCTGGAACTCATGGCAATTCTGCCTCAGACTCCCAAGTGCTGGGATTACAGGCATGTGCTACCACCCCCAGCTTTTACTTTTTATTTTAAAACAAGGTCTCACTAAATCACCAAGTTGCCAGGCCTGAGCTTGAACTTTCAATCCTTCTGCTTCTATCTCCCAGAGTGCTGGGATTACAAGTGTCCACACTCAGCCAGTTAGATTTTATAAACCCTGGCCAGGGTGTGGTGTGGCACATGCTTATAATCCCAGCACTTTGGGAGGCTAAAGCACAAGGATCACAGATCTGAGCTCAACCTGGGCAATTTAGTAACTCACTGAAACCCTGTCTCAAAGCCAGGCATGGTGGCACACACCTATAATCCCATCACTCGGGAGACTGAGCCAGGAAGATTGAGTTCAAAGCCAGCCTGGGCTACACAGTGAATTCAAGGCCAGTTTGAACTACATAGCAAGACTCTGTCTCTGAATAAATAAATAAATAAATTAAATAAATATAAAAACATGACAAAGGGCTGGGCTGGAGATGTAGTTTGATGTAAAGGCCATGGGTCAGGCTCTTTTTTCTTTTTGGGTGTAGGGGGTTGGTACTGGGGATTAAACTCAGGGCCTTCACACTAATCCATGTACTCAGCCTTTTTAGACAGGGTCTTTGCCGAGGCAGGACTCAAACTTTCCATCCTCCTGCCTCAGCCTCCCAAGTGCTAGAATTATGGGCATTCACCACCATGTCCAGCTAAGGCTCCTCTTTTTTCTGATCATGTTCTTAGTGGTTGTCCTCTAGGTGTCTACAGTTCTGACCATGTGACTCCACTGGTCCCCGCAGACATCCTCTTTCCCAGCTGTTTGCCCCCATACCACCACGCCTGCAGCCCAAAGGGCTTTTCTGAGGCTTCAGTCCATAGCGGGCAGATGGCAACCTCACCAGCTCTGTGAGCCTCAGGAGCCTGGTACTGAAATCAGGGCCCGTACTTCACAGCCACATTCTTCCCCTCTGGGACCGTGGTGAGAACAAGGGCTTCTCCCTGCAGGGCTGGCAGCTCCCCAGCCTGTGGCGGGTCCACCTTCCCACCCTCCTTACCCTCTCTGGGTCTGGCCCAGCCTCACAACTGAGGACACATGAGCTGAAGAGGTCCTTGGTGTCGTCCACCTGTCTGTGCCCTCACAGGGCACCAACCCCACCTCTTTACCTGCCCTCATACACTCCCCAGAGGACTCGGGGTGGAGAGCTTCCCTGAGCTTTCTGCAAGGCAAAGGAGTTAAGTTCAAGATCCCTGAAATGTATTATCTGCATTCGCA